TTTACCTTTGCGATGAACACCACAAATAATAAAATAAAGTAAGTTGAGGATAATTATTCTCTCTACACAGAAGTCTGAATATTGCATAAATGAACAGAACAAGAAGTCTGGAGGAACTTGCCTGTGGACTGTATACTGCAGGATTCCCATAGCAAAAACTAAATTTTCAATGCACATGTGACAGAGGTGTAGCAATGCAGCCCAATTCCAAAATTCACTTAAGCAAGATTGCATTAAAGATCATATTAGGAAAACATTCTCAATTTTTGTGACTTACAGAAAAGCGCTGAGCACAGCTAACATTTATTTCTGAATGATAATGACAAAAGAATTTATCCTGCACCAGCTACTAGCACAACTGGTGCAAGTGAACATTTTGTTGGTGTTGCCTATGACTCAAAGCATGTCTCATACAGTACAACTAGTCAGGTATATCTGAATAGACATGGTTTTGCTTGCTCTCAGTTCAACCCAAACTAAGGAGCAGGCAAGATCTTTCCAATGCAGGGGTATCTCTAGAGGGGATGGATGAAAGGTAGTCTGCAAGAATCCTTAATGACCATCCTAAATTATTTTTGTTTTCAGAAGCAGTTACACATTTTTCTACTTTCTGACCACATAAAAAGACACAACTTCATGAGAAATAGCATTTCAAAATTCTTCTTTCTGTTGAACAGTTCTTTTCTAGACATTAAGGGGTCTCTTAAAGGTTCAAGCACTCATTCTGTAGTTTGAGAACCATAAGAAACCTGTTCTATACTGCCGGTCTAAATTAGTACAGCCTATTACAGAACATAAAAACGTAAATACTATGCACAAGTGCCAGCAGCTACAATGTCCTGCTGTACTATTTGTGTTTACCTGCTCCTGTACAACTTGTTTTCCTTGAAAGATTTTACAGGAACTACTCATGGGGTTTTGAACAGTTGCAATTTAGACGCATCTAAAAGGTAGAGTAATAGTAAACCTGCCACCTGAAATAACATCTTAGTGGTACGTTCTACTACAAGTTGCCATGTAAGTTCTCTTCGTTCCCCAAAGCCCTTTCATAATACTGAAACAATTTCTAACTACTCACAATACATTAAACTGCAAAAGACTTGTAGAGCAAGTTTGCCGCTTAGATATACAATATTCACTTCTAGAGAGGAAAAATGCAGGATTATTTAATTACCTGTCCTTATCAACTAATATTAACTAAAAAGCACAGCTGTTTTCTTAAAGGAAAAATAAGACTCTAAACCATCAAGGTATCAGAGGCAATAGGGTCACTTGAAATGTAAACACTACTTACACCTGCCACAGGGTAGTGAGAGAGTAGAGTAGCTATTAAATCATCTTAACTCTTGAAAGCCGCTTCTTGGATTTATGCCACAGAAAACAAGTCTACCGAGACACACACTCTTGACCTCAGATTGTTTCTGGAACAAGACTTCTGTTACGTGTAAACTCCTTATCTTTGCTATGCCTGTAACTGGTCTGCTAAGAATAACAGAACATATCCCTTTTCCCTTAAACTGTATCTAGTAAATGTATCCTCAAATCAAGGTGGAAAACTAACTACACATTTAAAAAGACGGGTTCTGGTAATATCAAGCCGATATTAACTCAGGTTAAAGAAAGCTCTCCTTAAACATGGTTCTTAGCAGAAAATGCCTTTTACAAGATGGCATGAAATACCTCTGCCATTACTATTCTTGCCTTACTTCCAACTCCTGCCTTACTTTGTTATTACTCTCATTCATTGCAGCTCAAAGAGTCTGGCATCAAGTTAAGAACATTAGGTGCTCTTAAAAATGTTATTTTAAGATGTTATTCCCCCTTCTAGCTCTTCTGTAAACTGACATTTGTTATTTCAAAGTAAGGCCTTACAGCTTCAGTAAAGAGCAGTACCTTTATTTAGTACACACACAGTCTGCCCACAATTGCAGTTTACCATCTCTACCCATTCCTCTTTCACAAGGAAGAGTTACAACACAAGTAGCCTGTGCCTAACCTTTCTAACCTAAACACTGTCACTCTGGATATGTACCACACTTTCCCAGCCACCATAAATAGAATGCAGAGCTTGGGAAGCCCTACTCCAAGATCTATTTTCCCATTTAGCATCTGGCCCTCTTTCCATTAATATTTCATTACAAAATTTCCAGAAAATAGAAGTATCCAATACCGACAACACCAAGAAACCTTTGCTTTAGCATTAGTAGCAAAATTATGCCTTCTACAGCATCAAACCCAATCAACATTAGTTTGCACAGGCTTTAAAGCAGTTAAATATCACCTGCGCATACTGGCTCTTAAAGGTTTGATGCTTCACATCATAGCTGAACTGAATTAACTGCTTGCTGCCTCTCCTTGAAAATGAATCAACACACACTTCTGGAAAGGTTCCAAGTTCCTAGAACTCCTTTTCAAGTCACCAGAAAAACAAGTTGAAAGACTGGACTGAAATAGTTTCAGGTCTTAAAACACTTAAAATACCTAATGCTTGACTATAGGTCTTCCTAAGCCTACAAGAAAACGTTCGCAAGTCAGTAATGAAAAATAATACTATCTGGACATTTCTTAGTGCTTGCAGCCAACAATTCGATTTCTCCCCTTGTAGGGTTTTAATACCAGAATTAAAAACAAAACCCAAAAATCCCACATACCTACTTCAATCATAATAGCTTATAAATAATGATCTCATTAAAAAAACAGAGCTGTAAGTTCACATAAATTTATCCTCTAAAACACCCTGAATCTAAAGAATCTCTTTGGTGAATCTCAGAGAAGATAACTATATGAGTCATAAACAACTATACTTACATACCTTTCTCTTTCATACAGGAAAGGAAAAACTTCTTGTTCTTACTTTGGAACAGTTTCCACTGATAAAAGTCAAAAAACATGCTGTCCCTCCCTTTCCCCAGTCTACCATTAAAAAAAAAAAGGACCAATTTTCTTACAAATATATGAGATACTACAAAATATATGTAATCTCCAAAAATAATTCCTACTTATGTGTGAAAATGTGTGCCTATATGAAGCTTCAGATATGTGATAATCCTACTGGAATACATTTTTCTTGTCAGATACTTTTTATTAGTTATATGTTTAACCTCTGTATAGCCAGCCCCCTCTCACATTGAGACGCTTACGCTGGGTCACTCCAAAGAGAGTGAGAGGTAGCCAAAGGAAAGATAAAGCTGGATGGCTAAGAGCAAGATGAGGACAGTGACATCTCCTCACCTCCTCGTTTCAACAGCTGTTATGTTGACTCAGTTGCTCATGAAACAGAAGTCTTGGTTTCACCTTAATTTATTCTTTGGCCGTGGGTATAACAGGGGTATTTTCCACAGTCAGCAATACAAGTGCTTAAATTGCCTCAAGCAGCCTGAACCCCTGCCTTCCCACCCAGCATCTTGTGTAACTACAGTGTTGTTACTAGCTGAAGCACTCTGCCAATGTGCTACAAAAGAGACTGGGGAAGTGATCTGGCTGCACGTTCCCATGTCATTCTTCGTGGTTGAGGAATTACTGCTGTTCATGCTGCTGCACGGCAAACCACTCCAGCTGAATGCCTGCTTCCCCTTAACCCCTGCCTCCCTGCAAAACACACACATGCTTTTTCTGGGTCATCTCCCAGAGAAAAGCAAGAGAAGAAAACGAAGGAGGAGACAGCTTAAATCTGCACTAAAGATTTAACTGCAGAAACAGACACGGCAATGGTTTCACCACAGCTCAACCCTATCTAATTTGGCACCGTTGCAGTCTCCACCGCTGCACCTCTCAGCCTCATATTCACACTTCCTCTGCTCAGTGCTGGCACACATCCAGCTGTGTGGCAAATTGGTTTGGGGTGCTCAATTGCTAAGATCTTTCTTATTATTCTCCTTTGTCAGGACTGTTACATTTTCTGCTGGCCTAACATACTTAACCAGGCTTATGGTACAGTCAGACAAACAAAAGTGTCAGTACAAGATGGAGAGCAGTAACAGACTGAAGGGAACAGAGCAAGAGTATCACTGCAACAGCAACAAACAACTTTAATCACTTTAAACTGTCTCTTGTTAGACCACAGTATAAGAAAGTGTGACAGCAACCTAAATCAACTTTTCTCAGCTAGAAACTGCTGCTATAATGGCTCTCCAGTGTTCTGAAGCTGTAAAAGTCAGTACTGTCAGGAAATACTACTTAGTGGATCTACTGATAGTCTAGCATTTTGCAAACGTTAATTAAGCTTCAGAGCATTCTGTGTGAAAGGTGAGTAAATAAGATTTTAAGACTGGATCTCCCTAGCTTTTTCCTCTGGCTTCACTAAATAGCATCCATGAATCTTCATCCCAATCTACTTCCTTTTCAAGTCAGTAACAAATTCTATCTTAGATGAAGTATCTAATTTTGCATTTTGCTACATTAAACTAACTCAATGACATTTTTGTTGCTAAATGCAGGATCCTGAGTCAAATAATGAAGACTAACAGGATTCCACAATGCTTTAACTGACAGCAGATTGCAGAATGTACAGTTTATCACAGAACTAGAAACACTGTTATCTGTTCAGACTCTGAGGATTTGAATTGCATGACCACAATCACAAGCACACTTAACTTTCGGAAAACAAAACAAACGTCTCCCTCATGGCCCCTGTTCCCTGAGTTTTAATTCTGCAGAACTTGACATGATTCATGCTGGGAAACTACTTACTGACAGCAATAATTTTTTCAAACCTACAATCTCAGAAGCAAGCTTTCATTGGAAAGCTTCATAAATTTTGTTTTTATATTTTTTTCCTGTGACAGATTTGAATAACAGTGAGTATTTATTAGCATGCACAGAAACAAAAAACAGTACATCATCTGCCATTCACTGGTTTTATTTCTAGAATTTCATGATGGCCATAGAATTCTGATTCCTTTTAGCGATACTGGTTGCATTTGAAGGAAAACAGATCTTTTATCCCGAGGCAAAAAAAAAAAAATCCGTGTTAAGCAAACAGAAAACCACCACAAACTTACTCTCTAGTTCTTCCTTCTCAAAGTTTGTATTGATAGTAGAGCTGGTTTTGCCCATATCCACCACGGCTTCTTCATCATGACCCTGAAGAAACAAGATACAAGTTTAAGTTAAAACTAAATAGAACTAATTTTTTTCTAAATTCCTAAATATATTTTGCAGTTCTGAAGCTGTTTGTCAGTTTTCTAAAACAACATATTTTCACCTCTTAGAAACTGAGAAAGAAAATGTCACTGAAAATCTACCCGTCCAATTCTTCAAGAAAACATTACCCTGTATTGAAGAAAAAACAGAGTACATCAACAGATATGCTAAATACCATGTAATTTCCTTTTGCAATGCTCTTGATTTCATCATATCAAGGATCAGGACATACATTTCAGGAGAGCAATATTCTTTTAGTTTTACATTCAACAGCAATGAATCTACTTCAATAAAATAACTGGCAAATTTATAAAAATTTACATAATTAACGTTCAGAGATCTTGAGCCCATTTGCTTAGGGGACAATTCCTGTGTGAGATTTTCCAGCACGAGTAAGAAGCTTTTGTGAACGAAAGGTTATATAAAGGGGTGGCAAAAAAAGTTAAGTTACACAACTTGGGAATCTCTCCTAGACCAACAGTTTTGGAAAGATTAAAATAACTGTTTCACTGAGGTTTCAACAGACAGCTTGTTAACCACACGCCTATCTAACTCACGGGTTTTATGCACAATGTTAGAAAACAGCAGTTGCAAGACAATCTGTTCAGATTCCATTATTACTGAAACCATACCACTCATAACGCAAAAGCATAGTATTTGAAATAGATCTAGGCTCAAGAACGAGTCTTATCTGTGAACATGTCCCCTAATCACGTTTAGCAGATCACTAAAGCAGACCTTTAAACACTGCCTTTTGCTCAGTCTTGACAAAAATAAACTTTATAAAATAACTGAGCAGTAGAAATCTCATAATCTCATTTCAGACTTGACATCAAAACAACATTAAGTTTAATTTCTCCAAATGTTTGCATTCCTTTTAACAGCTCACAAATTACAGCCTCCTGGCAGAACTGGTTCTCCAAAAGAACTGCTGCCGACGCTAAGGGTAATGCTTTACTTTACATTTAACTATGTATAACGGCAGGCTAACTGCTAAAGAATACTGTCCCTGCTCTTTCTGCTCCCTTGGGCACACACTTTTTTCCTTAAGTCAGATCTATCAATCATGACGTCAGATACAAAGAGCTGAAGCAATGGATTTTATTTTTAATCTTTTAAATTTTGTTACTTTTTTAAACAACTCAGTTTTCCATTGGATCAGTTCACCAAACTGACTTTTCTTGTGGCCATATGACAGCTAGATCTACCACAAATAAATCTGTTTGATTGCTGCTTCTGGCAGCTACCCACTGGTGCATTTATATCGATCAACATGGGATCTGTGATAATGGTTTCATGCGGAAAAAATGGAAGCCTAAATCAGGAACCTTACAGGGACTGGGAACGCTAACAGTGTTGATATTCACCTAAACTCTGATCTTAGAATTACTCAACAGTCCAATGCTTTAAATACAGAACAGGTTTGTCATCTCACGGGGAAGTGACAAGGATGAAAAACAACATACCGGTGTAACAGCTGTAAGTTAAAACATACTGTAGCAACCCCTACCAAAAAGGAAAAAAAAAATTTTTTTTGAACACATAACTCCTTAGTCTTTCTAAAATAGGTATTTATTATAGTGTATCATGTGCGCACACACGAAAAATTCCAAATCTGTGTTTGACTATTGAGGAAAGTAGATTAAAGAATATGAAGATGACAATGGCACATATAGGAAAAAAAAATTCAGATGAGGTTTAAAAAAAGAGGTTAAAAGCAGTTAGACGACATTAAAAAAATAAAAACAGCTGGCACTGTGCAAATAAGCAAGATTACAAAAAACAAGCAAAAGAAGAGAATGGTACGTGGCAAAATAAACCTCTGAAAACTAAACCAAGGTCAATTCTGAGCTGTGTCCAAGAACGGGGTTTTGAAGAAAGGCGTTACACAGTAACATAACTTTGTCACTACTGCTGCACTGCAAAAGTAGTTTTGATTTTTCTAACATGCAAGCAAAACTCCTGCACACTCCAGACAGCTACAGTTAAAAAATTCAGGTGATTAAACCAAAGTTGTGTCTGATGAAATCTATGAAAATGTTACAAGGATCTATTAATAAAGAAGTGGCAGAAATTTAGAAAGTGTCATGGTAATAAGGGGGGGTTGGGGGGAAGTAGTACACTCCTGTCTCCTACACACCAAAATGAAATTAAAGAGCCCTCCAGAAGGTGCCTTCATAATGTAAATTAGTCTCCTATCTCTTTGATAACCATTCCGGAGGTAGGGAAAAACACAGCTGCAAAGTGAGTCTTGGCTCTTATCTTTACTGAAGATGTATTTTCCAACACAGCTTGTGGAAAAAAAATTTTAACATACATAAACCCAATAGCAAAGAGAGATCTCTAAGCTTTTTAATGCTGCTGCTTAAAGTTAACAATCTTTTGAGGCACCAAATAAGTACAGCAAAACATTTAGCTGCATTGGTAAGGCCATAACACTATGGAGGAGTCAAGCATACCTACTTTCCAATTTATCTCAGTGATACAGAAAGAAAAAATTATAGGACTGTAGTACACTCCAGTTTACAGAAACAGATATACACACAAATCCTGCATGTTACCAGAAAACTCAAAATAGAGTCAGAAACAGATGAAGTATTACAAGTCCTCTAAATTATCTTAAGTGTCTTATGAGAGAGAAAAAACCCTAATATTAGGAAAACTGCTGTCAAAACCTCTTCCACAATTAGCTTCATGGTTACAGCCACAGACTGCTGAAATATCCTGTACCCAACTCCCGCCCCACACACACGCCCCTTAATAGTCCTTTTAGGACACTTGGAAGCTTGCCAAAACACAGTTTTTGAGCAATAAAGGAAGACAAAGTTTTTCTCCAGATTATACAGACTACTGCATACCGGTAGAAAATTACACACACGCTGTGGAAAATACACATGCAAGAAAAGATTTTATATCCCAATAACATTTTGAAACTGTACTTGCTGTATGCCTTATATCATGTTATTAATATTTATCACCCTTTGCTTTAGTAACAGAGGTACTATGCCAACCTTATACATACAGAAGCAGCCTTCAAAACCACATCATGTGAAAGTAACATGTCTTTTGAGATTAGATTACAGAAAGGCATGCATGCCCTTGCAAACCGTTCCATCACTATCTCAAAGTACTCAACATATGCAAAGACTCTTCCAAGAATAAACCATTAGCAACCACAAATATCATACATGAAGAAAGCCTATCATTTACAGCCTTTGTTTAGAAAAAACACAAAGCATCATTTTAACATAACCATTTGTGATGCCAATAGCAAATCCCACCATAAAATACTTTTGCCTTAGGTCAGGTAAAAACACCCAAAATATTCAAATACGCTATAAAACTAATCCCAAGCTACAACCTTTTCCTTGCTAAAAATAAAGTCTGTAGGGCATAGGTTTCCAGTAATTATAGAAGATCTACCATGTCAGTTTAAGGCACAAAAGTGAGAGAAAACTGTTTCAGTTGCTGAATCAAAACAGGTTCCCACTCTAGTTATCGCTTTTACTTTCTGAACTTTTTACATAAACAGAGGTGGGATTGTTTAAAACCCGTTAACTTCCCTTTCCTAGGCACAGAGGATGACTTCATCTAAGAGCAAGCATTCCTCTGCAGTTAACCATCCATTTCATGTGAAACTTATGTACAATAATCCCACAGATGCCCAAAAAACAGTTGAGCCAAAGTAAAACTTAAGACTAACTTGGAATGTAACTTCTGTTTTCAGTCAAGAGACAGCACAAGTGAGAAGGAAAAAAAAAACAACACAAGCAGCAACCAAGGTGCCCCAGGGAGAGATTAAGCCTTCACTTTGGTTTGCTTTTTCACAAGGAGATGGTCATCTATAAGAACAAAACAAACCCAGAGTACTTCAAGGAAAAAAAATCCCAGAAATACTCCTACGCTGCAGTATACTAAGTATACTTTTTCCTAACACCAAATTTGTGGATACTTACAAACATACTGTAAAAACAACCTTGCAGTAAAACCTTCATATTCAGCCAGAGGTGCCTACATACACTACCACATGTCTTCTCAGCCTTCCAACTTTCCCCAGCATGAAAATGAAACCCCTTTTTAACTGTTGCAGACCAGACAAGACTTTCAAATACTCTTTGCTCTAGCAGAATCCCAGCAGGATTCCTCTTGCCACCTCTGATTTTCATATCCCTTTTCTCAGTCCAGGAGAAGAGAGTAATTCCCCTTTCATTGCAGACAAACAAGCATCCAGAAAATGCTTACACTTTACTTATTTACCTTCTCAAACATTTGTCTTCATTTAGTACGGTACACTTTTTAGATCTAAAATATGAACACTACATGTTTTTTAAAAGTAGTATTTAAAAAAGTCAATCCTAAATTGCATGAATCATTAAGGAAAGCACTCAAGTTTGCAAGAATTAAGTTGTCAACCTCCAGCAGCATGTGTTAGTTACCATCTAGTGGACTGGCGCAAATATGACGCACAGAATATTAAATCTAAAAGAAATTTTCCACTGTCGTCTGTACAAGCTCTTCTCACCATGCAACTCGCCTAACCTTATGCAGTCACATACATGACAGACTTCAGATGGGCACGCTGCCAAAGTGCATTACTGAATAACCACTTCCAAGAGATACAACTTGCTAGCAACACATTTTTAAGGTACTTGAAATGTAGTTCAATCAATTCATTCTGGCGATAGACAGTGATCATACAAATGGCTGATACAGTTAACTGTAAACCTTTGAAATGTAAGAGCAATACAGTAATTGTGTTGAGAATAATTTGAGCTTAACATTTAAAACCATTACTTAGCTAAGTGAATGTTCATATGCTCCATTTACATCCCCTCAGCACAAAGTTCTTCCCCAACAGAGTTGGGGAACTACTTGCAGCACCAGAAGAGATAGCACTAGTGTTCATGGGAATAAGTAGGGGCACAGGAGAGGAAACAAACAAATGAAAAAGCCATACATCCCCACACACCCCCAAAAAAATTACATTACCACTTTCATGCTAGAAAGAACTTTCACTGCAGCATTTATTCAAGTAGATGCAAATGCTAAAAAAAAACCAAAAACAAACAAAAAAAAAACCACACCCAAGGAGGGGGGAGGAGGTGTGTTCATATCTAGTATCCCTTATACATCTGTCCATGGGCAAGAGTTTAAGACTTCTAATTTTGATATTATTCTACTACAACTGCCTACACCATCACACTGAACATACATATTGCTCTATGACTGCAATTATATCCCATCCTCTCTGGCTTGAACAGAAGGCAAATACTTCCCCCCTCCTTCCCACAAGAACCCATGGATACATCTCTGCCTTTGTAGAGACACCAGATCTGGCAGACAGGATTTAGCTCTTAGGCTGGAATGTGGCACCAACAAACCATTCCTCTCAAAACATGAGCACGCACTGCTTACAGACCCAACTGGTAAACCTATGTAGCATGCTACTGTAGCTTTACGTACTAAGGTCAAATGACAATTTTTGCACAGTGCATTTTGCTCTTCGTACTTTGCTCTTCGTTCTTTCATCATCAGTACATAGGAGCAGTTAGGCTGGATCAAACCATCCATCAAGCCCAGCATACTGTCTCCAAGAGGATACAACAACAGCAACTTCCCAATAAACTTACAAATCAGTGCAAACATAATTCAAAATGGTGGCTTGACCTAGACCTAGGAAGCATAGTCAAAGCAGTATTTTTGTTGCATCATCAGCCCTCTTGCTTTGTTGGATCTGCATTCAGAAGACAAGATATGATAGCCATCAAGGCTCCAGTAACAAAAAAGGAAAATTAAGTAAAGAAAAATTACCAACATTGCCCTGCTTGAAAAATAAAAGTTTAGCTGGAAAAAGAAATTAAAACCTTCATTTTGACCACACATCTCAAAGATAACTAAAGAGGAACTACAAAACCTGATTTTGCAATGGTTTTCCAGACATGTGCATGTACATATGTAAAATATTTTAAAACTGACCTTTTTTTTTATAGATAGATACACACACTCATTTGTTTTGTCACAAAGCTACTGAAATATATTGTTCAGAATAATTAAGAACCCATAGGGTAATTCACGATTCATTTTCACAGCAGCATTTCCTAAGTGGTTTGTTTCAGAAGTCTGCATTTCTGTTCTAAGCACACATAATTCTCCATGTAGTCAGGAAATAAAAACACATCTCCAATTTACAGAATGCACATACAGCCTCTTCTCTATCCATTCAATCGCCCAGAACTGCAAGCTGATACTTCAGGAATAAATAAAAATAATCAGACAAGACCATTGTTATCTCCTAATTTTGTAGGACTACAAGTCTACCAGTGACAGCAACTCTGGAAGTGGTAAGAAAAGAAACCAGAAAATTAGTATATTTGTTAATGCCATCTGTATGCAGAGTTCAATGACAATCATTCTACCTCTGGCAATCATCAGCACTAGGTCTACCCTATAGCTCTCCCACTGCGACCCATACAGAGCACTGAGTAGCCTTAGTTAAGAGTGCCTAAATTAGGAAGGGCTTTTTGACATTGTTCACCTGCAGGAACGACTAACAGCAGCACTTGGTAAGTTCTAAATATATTGTTTTACTTCTCTGTCAGATTGATTCTGCTTTTAAACCAGAGGTAAGATGAGCCTATGGTGCGCAGGAGGGCAGGCATCTCCGGTTGCTGCCTCCCTGAAGGACAGCCAGGATATGAAAAATCAAAGTTCTTTCCAAATGGTAGTAAGTGAAAGTATTATTCAGTCTATTAAACAGTCTTTAGCTGAATTGCACAAGCAGTCATAAAATGCGTATTTAAAGTAAGCTATTTGGGCACAGTATTGGTCTACACAGCAATACTGTATCTTCAGAAGTTGCAAGAGTGATGAAACACTACCAGTTCTAAATCAAGCACATCAACCTAACAACCAAGGGAAAAATGCACCAAATATAAATGGACCCTGCCTCATTTTGTCGGCATACAATTTTTAGCTGGCCTTGCCCTCTAAATATATACAGATGAGAGTAAAATTAATAATAATAATTCACAAACAGAACACTTGCCAGTTTCAAAATAGGAAGTGCACCATATCAATGGGTTCCCCCTTGGTCATATTCACTATGGTCTCATTTGCACAGGAACAGCTGCTTTCCAAATTTCCCCCCACCCCACTCCTGCTATCATAGCAGTGGGTATTGCTCAAGCGCTAACAGGAAAGACTCCAGTACAGCTCAAGGGTTTTGGTGTCGCCCCTCCCTCCCCCCCTTTTCTTGTGAATTTTATCTGTGGTTATACAATTACTATTTTACACAACTATCCTCACATGTAAATGAAGATCCCTCCTAATCAAAGCAATACTCAGAGGCTCACAGGAAGGTTTGACCCTTAGATTTCAGTAAGACCATAGCTATAACAAAAGCAGTTAGGAATACCTAGAAAAGTTTTTCTAGCCTACTAATCCTCTGATTAACTGCTCAGCTTACCCTACTAAATATGCCTGACCAATCTGCTTCTAGAAGACTTACAAAAAACACAGGAGCTATACAAACCTTCAGTTTGGACAAGTATGTCCAACAGACATCAACAGACTTCAGTAAGACTCTCCAGAAGTTGCATTTTACTTTTCCAAAACTGTATGTGGAGGACAGTAAAGAAAAAAATGTATGTGTGCTAATAAAAATAAAATTAAAAAAAAAACCAAACAAAACAACACCCACACAACACACCAACAAAAAACACACCACACTTTTGGAAAAAAGCAGTTCCAAACATGTTAATGTTTTGCTTCCTGCACAGTTGAGCATTTAACGTTTATAAATAATTTTGTTCTAGTGGTTCTAGCAGGTGTTACTCTGGCCGCTGTCACACTGAGCGCCACAACCTGCAAGACAAGCCATGTCCCAGACAAGTCAGACACTAGTCTTTGGACAGTAAACACAAAGTGCTTGTGTTAATCAGAACACAAAATTAAATTGGGAGAAAAAGTCAGAAAGAAAAGGAAGCATAAACACTGACAAGAGACTGGTCACAGTAGTGACTGGCTGTCAACTATAGCACACCGCAGCAATTTGTCACAAAAAAAAAATTGGGTTAGAACAAACACAAGAAAAATGGATGGCTTGATTAATATTAAGGAATGACTAAAATGCAAGAGAATATTTGATTAAAATTAGAAGCCTGTTTGAATTCAACCCAAGTGTTCTGCAAGCCAGAAAATTTACCACCATGCATAAAGTTAGCAAGTAATGTCACCAATCCAACACAAGATATCAAGTTGCATATCTAACATTATAGTAATTTTACAAAGTTGCATTTTATCACTGCCTCACAGCACTGTTTCATTCAAAAATTCATAGCTCCATTCACTTCAATTTCTAAAATTACAGTTAAAAAAGAAAAACCAGTTTCCCAACAGCCAAACTGAAGTTTCTCTAAATTTTAAGGCGTAACACTGTAATGAGTGAAGTATAAAGTTTATACATTGCACTGCTTCATTCAAAATTGAACAGTCCTGTGACTATAGTATGCAAAGTTGTAACTAGTCACCTCAGATCTTTGCCTCATCTTCTAGCCATATGCGTGCCTGGTAGAGTTCTGTGTTCAGAGCTGAAGGCAGCACCACAATGAAAATCAAAAATCAATCACTGTACTACAAAGACCCTAACAAACAAGACCACTGCAATCAGATGCAGTTTAACATGTCTAAATGAAACTCTTACTTGCTTATGCTCACAAAAGGAAACAGAAAATTTAGTGGCCATCTCATAAAATTTATATAAAACAATTCAGAGGTCTTTGAAGCTTTACAGCTTAGGAAAATTCCATCCCATAGATTTTAGTTTCCAGGGAACTCTAAAGTAGTAACCCCTATTACAGACTGCATTGCAGTTAAACGGCAGTGATAAAGACTACCCATAGAAGAACTAAGCAGCAGCTTGTAACATTAATACTGGAGTTCACTGCTTCGTTGTAGAAATCCCCACAGAGTTTTGTGGCTATGCCACTGAAGTCTGAAGAAAACACTATCTCCATGAACATTTTACCTCAGTTACACAGCTCATTAAGTTCACTTTTTTTTTGTCAAAAGTAACAATCAATAGGCTATTTCAAGATTCTTTACCAGTAACTTCCCTGCTATACTTGCACAGAATTACTCAAAGCCACAGATGATAACCTTCAAATTATCACAAGCTGACTCAAAATAATGCGAGAGAAAAAAAAAAAAAGAAAAAAAAAACCACACCACACAACCAACCACACAACACAGCCAATCTCAAAATTGCCTATTTTCTTTCTGGATTAAGCCAGTTAGTATGATTAAGCAATTCTAACTACACAGAAAATATTTTCCCTAATACAGAAATCTCTACTTCAAGTATTATTTCTATCACCAGATCTTTCAAAAATTTCTTCCACAACTAATGAGTCTAAGATAGCACACCATTCTGAGACACAGTTGCTAAATATCACTTGCATCAAAGCACATTTGAACCGTTATTAAGTTATACAACTGCTATTTACATACAGGTTGCATTTTCTTCCCTGGACGAGCTTCTTCCATGCCGATGTGCAGAAACAGAGAATGCCCTTGTACGAGACCCTGTAATGAACCTCCCAAGAGATCAGAGACTGCGCATACATGACTGCTTTAGCTCACTCTGCTTGACACAGATGTACTCCGGGAAATCGCTCCCCAGCCCCGCAGCCAATCGCTACCTCGCGAGTCTCTCATCTCCCAGGCCACTGATTACAGCTACCGCAGGGTCGCACGAGAGTGGAATGGGCGAGACGGCATGCCTTCAATTCCAGCTCACAGAATACCAAAAAAGGAACTGAAACAGAGTTTGAGACTTAACATTTTCTGCATCAACGGCAGCTAAGAACAGCTCCAAGGTTATATTTTTGCTCTGATCCAAGACTTCATTAGCACTACAAAATGAAAGCACATTTGTACCTCGGGTCCCAGAACAGAACAACCCAGAAGTCAAACATCTGCTAAGTGTGTTTATAGCTATATTATTGACCTTTCACTGAATACTCATTCCAAAGCAGGTTTTTTTTACATAAGCCATATATTATTGTTCAGCAAAATAAACCAGGGCTTACTAAAAAAAACACACACACACTTAGGTTTGGTTTTTTTTTTTCCCTGTTGAAGAGGTAGAAAAGCCATGCTGTTAGCTGCAATTAATTTCACGTCTCCTTCCAGAATAAGATGGCTCTTTGTTTCAGGTATGATATGCATAGCTGTACTTTTTCCTTGCTTAAGCCAACCTTAGAAAAATGCAAACTCCACTCTAGCAGATCAAATTCAGAGCTTCATTTCACTCCTCCCCTCTTCAGCAGTAACATACCTTAATCTCCTTGTTCCATCACATAACGCGTAGGAAAACTGGCTCTTTAAGGCATTACCCATAAATTAACCTTCATGACATGACACTGCCTTCCTTGTTCTTTTTTCTTCTTTCATTCCTACTTCTTGGATGACGAGAACTCTAGTAATGAAGCTGGACTGGTGCCACCCCAACCAACGAACAAATGAACAACTTGGACAAAACAAAACAAATAATGTACTGTTCATAAACTTGGGGCAAATACCACCAGCCAAAGAAACATACTGTGCAACTGTGAAGATGGTTTTTATCACCTAGTAGTTCAGGAATCAGAAGGCCACATTCAGTTCCCCTCACTGCCTTTCTCAGTCCAGAAAATTCTCTAACCATAAACTAATAAAAGTAGTCTCAGATAGTGCTGACAAGAGGGTGTAAAAGTAGTTTGTTTCCACTCTGTAAATAGATGTGCACTCTAACATGTGTGTGAATCTTTTCACTTCCAAGCTATTGAAGGCCTCTCTGTTGCTAGATGTAAACGACTATAAACTAAATGATTCATATAGCAAGAACAAAGGTAAACAAAAGTATCAGATACCCTAACTCTTAGTGATCTCTTCTCAACTGAGCATCCTAAACCAAACCTATTCTTTTCCTAACGTAGACCACAGATTCATACAGTTCTTGAGCTACTCAGATGAATACTGAAACAGCTATGCTGAATTGTGTTCCGGTGGCTCTCCCACACTTCAATGCAGTCTTCCTTAGCATAAATCTGTACTAGAAGTACTTCAATTTCTAAAAGTACAGAAGTTGGTTTGTTTAGGTTGGGGGTGGGGTGTGAAGGGGGAAGAGGCCATCTATTTTTGGGGGAGAGAAGAAGGCAGGGGGGTGAGGGAGGGGCTGGGAATGACACCTTTGACTTTTTATTTTTTTATAAGTTTTGGAAAGAATACTTACTCGGTTTGGAAGCTTTAAAAAAAAAACCCTCTCTGAAGCAGTTTACTGAAATCTCTTTCTAGTCTGTAGTCAACCAATTCCTAGTTAATAGTCACTCGGTCTTAGAAAAAAAAAAAAAACACTCAGAAGCTTTATTCATTTAAAAAAAAAAAAAAAAACAGAAAGCAAAGAACATGCGCATGTAGAACCAAGCTCAAAAATCCAACGTTCTAAAATGTAAACAAGTTTCTTTCAAGCAGATGGAAATTTTTGTCTTTTAAGTCCCATACCAAAATACTTTGTGGATAAACGTCTGCTCTTACCTAAGAATAAATACCAGGGAAAAGCTTCACATTAGATGGAGAACAACACAGCAACTTCAAACTGCAACTGTCTCAACATGCGTAACTACAGAAGTATTCTAAAACAAACCGTAGGCAAATGTATTCAAAATTATCACATCCTTGAACATGTTCAGTGACAACACTGTGAGAACTTTGAGCAAAACTATTTGTGCTGCAGCAATATTTCAACCTTATGCTCAATTCTGCAAAATAGTCTTTATGAAGTGTATGAGAGCTTTTTTTTTTAAAGAAAAAGAAACAGAAGTAGCAATCATGAAACATACATTCTGTCCATCAATCTTTCCTTCTTTATTTTCACTTTTATACCCCTTCAAGTTCCACTTATTTGAGCTTATCTCCAGCTAAAAAAGCACTTTTTTTGAAAGACAGATCAAAAAAATATGTATCTATTCTCCAGACAGAAAAGAAATAATTCATCTGAGCTCTTAGCTCTTTGCAAAACTTTTCATCTTTTCACAAGCACTACATAGTCCATGATTTCCTTGCAAGCAGTACAGGCTTACAATAAAAATTCCCTCAAAATCAACTAAATTGGACTAATTCCAAAACCTCTGTTAACCATGGGGTACAATGCAGAAACATTTTCAATGGATTAGAAGAGTAATTTGCATGTCACTTGTTACAACTAGTTTCTGGATCAATCTGTAAAAATATCCCCTATCACACCTTACAGCAACACTAGTGTTAATGCACCAGCAAGCTGCATATATTACTACAGCCACAACCTCTTCTTGCCTATCCTCCAAATTCTGCTCTTAAAATGAGAGCGCAATTATGATCCCAGTCTATCATGAAGAGGCAGTAAACTGCCTTATTGTGGGGTCTGCAGAGTCTCTAGCAGGCAGAGCTGTGCTTAATCTGCCATTCCGAGATGGCAGGACACAAGCACGTTTTCATCATTTAAAGTAGCTGCAGTGGGTAGGACTGTGCTCTCAGCAGGATTTACCACATGAGCACAAACCCAGAGGTCTCAGACCTAGCCAGACAGGAACACAAGGAAACTGAGTGCTCATTTGCTTCCAAAGAGGCCATACTGACATACCCACACATCTAGCCCTGTAAGGTTTCTATTGATACTTTAAAATCCTGTTTCCGGAGGTGGGGTGTTAAGAGTTGCATCCATAATCCAAACTCAACCCTTCCTTATATGAACAAATTATACGAAATGAACATGACAATCTTTTCTAACATCGCAGCCCAAAAAACCAACCCAGTTCACTGCCACCTTTCTTCATGTATCTGCCAGGATAGCATCTATCAAACTCAAAGCACCTCTCTTTAGAAAAGAATATAAAAAACAAGAAATACTTACCTATGAGACAATAAGACAATACTTGTAAATGAGACTTTATTTTGGATGGGGGGAGGGGTGGCGGCCCAGGTCAGGGAGGAGTCAGGAAAGGAGACAAGGTACTAGGGAATTAAGATGATGCAGGAGAGCAAGCTGTATGACACAAACTGTCTCATGTTAGTATGTCAAATACCACTACAGATGGTTTATGTTCAGCTTCTTATTAAATGAGAACCTACTAACTCATATTAAGAACAGCAGCTTCCTACGAGTTATCTATTACACATAAATTAAATATAAGCTATTTCTCTAAGGAGACGTTATTCCCTTAGCAAGGGAACACAGAAACCTTCATAGGCAGTGGCTCAGCATTTAATGAAATAAAACTACCCATAAAAACCAAGAGTCGGACTGCCTACACGTATTTTTCAGAACACAATTTCCACATAACAGCTAGTTCCCAGGAGGTACATCTGCATAGCACGCTTCAGCTTGCTTCAGTTTGTATCGGCACGTACACATGGAACTGAGTGTTTCCAAAAACAGAAAAAAGGAAGAGGAAGGAAAAAAAGATATATGTATTCTGTGCAGATACGCTCTGGTGTATTGCCCCAGTAGTGGAGTCTTGGGTTTCTCAGCGCATTGCAGGACAGCTGTCACAAGCCACCAGGATGCTGAGAGCAAGCATGAGGCAGATCGCTAGTTTGAGCCCTCCTGACATTACACCATTACACTTCATTCTGCGAGTTGCATACTTATTCTCTAGAGAAGGTACCACTGAAATCTGTAATCTGAATTGTCATCAACAGCGAGATTACTATGTACTCTACTGTAGAGACTACTTCATCATCACCCTGCAGTCCTGATTTGGATACATTGATGAAGCAGAAAAAACAAAAGATGTAGGTAAAGTTTTAGAGTACTTTATGTATTTCTGGACTCAAAAACATCCCTCAGTAGAGAGAGATGGAAGAAATTCACCACGGTCAAATAGAACACTACCAAGAATTTTACTTCAACATGTACGAGCATGTGATCACCATGCAAATGGCATTGAGCTAGGCTAGGGGAGATTTGATTTGTTGGGGGTTTTGGTGGGGGTTGGGTTTGGTTTTGTGGGCATTTTTTGGGGGTTGGGTTTTTTTTAGCAAAAGAATGAGGATGCTTTCTAAATTCAAAGCTGCTCACTTTACAACTACAACATATCCCGCATTGCTTGCTTTTACCTAAATTCATCTTCAGGCATTTTGGCAGCATTTTTGAAAGATATTATATTTTTTTCTTTATCCTAAAGAAGTCTTAGATCATTGTGCAAGTTCACCAGAACTATAAACCAGGGCTGTTTCAACACTATTAATGCCACCTAACCAAGGCCATATGTTTAAATGCTCTACAATCACTTGTACAAATATTAAACATTTGTATCTCAGAATAATAGATGGCACAGAAGTGAACAGCTGATAAGTCCAGATACGAAGCAGCATAATATGGGGCAGATAAAATTATCTGTTTTATACTGACATTATTTGAAGTACAGGCACAGGAAAGCCTTTCCCTGACAGCAGATCCTCGGGAGGAAAAAAGGAGGGGGAAAAAAGGGAAAAAAGAAAAGAAAAAAAAAAAAAGAACAGTCAAATTATCCAATTATCCATTAGGACAGACTCTCCAAATACAACCAAACCAAGCTACACCCACACAGAACAGTGTCTTGACAAGAACACCAAACATCAGCAGCTAATAAATAAA